ACATTTTTGCATTTCCTCTTTATATCAATAAGATGCTCCTTTTGTCTTAATATACTATCATTTGTAATCTTATTACAAAAGATGCACTTGCGCCTGTTGGCATTTCCTTCGTCCACAAGTGAAGTGTATTTTCATGTAGGATCCTGTCTTCTCCCACCAAAGATTATTTTTACTGTAGTAGAAACATTACTATTACTGTAGCAGCGACAGTAGGGCAGTCGGTTCAAAAGAAAAAGAAAGAAAAAAAGAATTATAAGAGAATTAAGCTGCAGCACTAGAAAAAAGAAAATAAAGGACTGATCTTGGTGTGGTTGTTGTTGTTGCCGGCCTTCCGCGATGTTGCCGTCCTTCTACAAAAGTGGGAGGAAATGGTTGGAAAGAGAAACCCGAGCTCTCAGCCGACCAGATTGGGCGAGGTAAGTGTAGTGGGAATCGGGTCTAGACTCGATAACCCGTTATTTCTAAATTAAAAAACCCCATTAACCTGCTATTTCTCAAGCGCGCGCCCCACGCAACGCGTGAGGCGCTTGCCGGGCGCTCTCAGGCATGCGCCTGAGGGAAGCACAGCGTCCCGCACTTGATGCGGGGCGTTGTGCTTGCGCCCCGAAGCACATCGCGCCTGAGGCGTGCGCCTCAAATCGCCTCAAATAACACTGATCAGGATCAAAGGATCCACAGAGAGGGAGGGAGGTTTAGTAATGGGTTTGCGGATCTGCTGTTTGTTTGGGCTATTGTGTTTTTTGTTTTAGTGCTTGGGCTTTTAGTATTTGGCCTATTAATTTTCAAATAGGTTAAATCTAAGTGGGTTATTGAATTCCATAGGCTTGGGTGCAAACTGATTAAATGAGGGCTCATATTTTATTTAAAAATGTTCTAAAAGATAAATACCAGAAATTTAAGGGCGCAACTACCCCCAATAACACCAAATGAATCCGCCCTTGCATATTCTTTAACTATTTTTTCTCCTCTTATTTTAGCGTATGTGGAAAAATACATCATATGCATAAATTTAGATTTAAGTTTGTAGAACTATATTGCTATTGATATGTTATAGCATCACATTAAGCTTTCATTTATCAGCTAAAAAGCTGTCTAATATTCCTATATGAATAGGTAGTTTAGTTTAATATGAATGACTCCCAACTCCTTTTCTCAACATTGATGTTTATCCAACTTGTAGTATTAATGCAAATTGTGCCACTTTGTGTAGATTTCTAAGAGTACTTCCACCAAAATTTGGTTTGAATTGTGCCATTGTGTAAAGGGAGTTTAGTGTGTAGAACTTTCCGACTCGTGGTATTTCACGTGAGTTTGTTTTCATCAAATCTGATTTATAATGATGACAATTAAAAGAACTATGTACACTACTTTCTTCCTAGATGTGGTGGTTAGAAATAGACATTCACTTTTCAATAGTTAGGATTGCAGTTAGGTACCTTATAGAATTAGTGAATCATAAATGTCACGTTACGAAACCGCATCGGATGATAGATACAGGTACAAGACAGCAGAGACCTGTGCACATGTCAAGCCTGACACTTCATATCGCATAACTTTTGTCAAAATATATAAATCTGCTGATGATAGAAGTTCAGAGCAAACTATATATATATATATAGTATAATATATATATATATATTATATAATATATATATATTAGAGAGAGAGAGAGGACGAGAGAGAGAGAGAGAGATGAGAGAGAGAATATGGTATGCTTGGTACCAAACATAAGTTTTTGTGCTTGGTAGTGAGATGACATATTCCTTCCACTCATTGAATCGGGGCCCATATTCACATGGGTTGGGGAGTGATGAGAATTAAATGAGTGGATGGGATATTGACAGCCTCACTACCAAGCACAAAATTGTGCTTGGTACCAAACATACCTATTTTTATCATTATATATATATATATTATATTAATATATATATATATATATATATAGTAGTATATATTATTATGCAACCTAAAAATCACAAGCATTTTACAAAATCAAAATTGCTCGGCTGACACAAAAGAGGCTTTCCCATATAATGCCTCCTTGCAACACACCACAACCAAAAGTTCAACCTATATGCAAAGCTACGCCATATTTGAATTTTTTTGAAAATGATGGGGTGAGCTGAAGTTCAATGAGAATATTTCCTACTAGAGTTCCTAAATATATAACAAAATAATAATTCTAAAAAATAGTGGATTATAGGTTTTGCATCTGAAATTATGAGATGACAAAATATTGTTTAAAAGAACACTATTAAATTTTTTAAGAAAGAATGCAAAATTTTAAAATTCTTTCTTTTGTGCAAACTGAATGCACTATCATAGATTCCTGAATAAGACTTTTTGCAATGAAGATAAATACAGAGAAAATATGGACTACTAAATTTTGTGCAAAAGCAAATGATTACCGTTTTCTCAAATTCACAATCAAATGTCAGAATTTCAAATCTCGATGAGTTGTTCACATGGTTACAAGAATCACCTTGTAGGTCACACTAAAGCTACAAATATTACAACACAGTAGCACTAGCATGAGAATGCATAAATCGCATCATAGATAATTTTCAGGAATAGAATACACCTAACACTGCCATAGGTCGCCGACCAGATCGGAAATGCCCAAAAGGGCCAAAACAAATTCAGAAATACCCAACAAGGCGAGATAAAGGTGCATTCATCGTAGGGTTGTCACACTTCATAGTTCATAGTGGACTTTCTGAGGGTTTTGAAAACATTGAGAACCATTTGTCAAATAAAAAACAGATTACTTATTAGAATCATAAACACTTTCAAATCAAATGAACGAGTGTGAAACTCATCAATTAAAATAGCTTAAGGAATTCATTTTTATTTATTTGTTTCAATTGCCAAGTTATGGAAACTTTCTTAAATCCATTAAACTGTTGAAACACATTCAAAACACTTCTTTCTTCAATAACTTTCGAATAAGGGGCTGTTTGGTTCGCAACCACATAAGGAAATAGGATCAGAGGAAATCAATTTCCTCTGACACCTATTTTTCATCTGTTTGGTTGGAACCAAAAAAAGGGGAAAACCCACACTCAGAGATGATAATAATGCAGTAGGTCCCACAAAAATTGGAAACCTATTTAGGGTTGTTTTGGAAGGAAATGAACTAAAAATGATGGAAAAGTGGCCCCCACATGCGATGTTTTGATTTTTCTCCCTTGAAACCACAAAAAACTGGTTACCATGCAATGAACCAAATAGGCCCTAAAGCAACATTCACATTTATTTGAGATCGCATGGGAACCAATATCACTTAACACATTTTATACGAAATCAAATCTACTTTTAATATCTCATACGGAATCAAAATCATATTATCAGGACAGGTTACTAGAATATATGTCAAATCACATTTCATTTTATATACCCAAAAATAATAAAATAATAATCTCTCAAGCACAAGATCTATCAAATATAATGCTCATGCAATTTTATTTATAAAATACTAGTGGAAAATGAACTCACCTAATAACCGACCGAGTTCCCCAATTTGATCCCCTCCGACATCAACAAGGTCATATATTATTAAAATCATAAGGTCAATACCAATTCAGGGTGGACTTTTATTATAGGCCAATCACTCTGTAATCCATGTTAAAGTAGATCCAAATAGTGAGTAAGATCCATAAAAAGGATTCACATAGGCTTCTCACCAATTTTGGCATCTTATCATAATTTTTATAACACTTATTTAATAATTGTCGGACCTATCAACAAATTATGACAAGAACAGGCGCTACAAATAAATGTCCAAGCCCAAAAGTAGCCTTATATTATTCAATCTAGACCTGACTGCAAACAATGGAAATAACAGTGTCTAAACCAAAATTTCCCCTTTAGTTTATAACTATGTTTGCTCTGATTGGACTTGTTTACAATTCAGGGAACTTCAGGGGGTGCTAGGATATAGTATTCGTTCAATTACTATATGGTATTCATTTAATCTGGCCTTATTATTAAGCTTTAGAAAACTCAGGGGGTTAAGAAAAGCTTTTCCTTCCCTTATTTCCCAACTGCAGATCTGTTCCCTTCTTCCTCTTCTTTCTTTAATTTTTGTTCTCTTCCTTTTGTTCCCCCTTCTGGACATCATCTCAAAGGCTTTGCCCCCGTTGCCCATCTCGGTCGCCGAGGTGACCTACTGACGGCGGGGACTTGCTGGTGACCAGGGGAAGCCGGCGATGAGATCCTCTTCTACACGTATTCTAGCTATTCTAGTCCAGCTAGTTAAGGTGTCAAGCTAGTTCTTGAAAATGTTATTTGTTTCTCTCATCAATGATCACCAAATTTGCAAGCGTTGATTATATTATTGTTATTGTTGTATAAAGGTTTAATGTAATAATGATTGAATTTATAACTGCTGATAGTATATGCTCTCTTTTCTTCTTTTCTTTTATTGTCATTTCATGTGTGATATATAACTTAGAGAACAATAGAGAATGATTTAGTTTTTCATGAAAATATGCAGGCTGCTTCTATTCATTAGCTATGGGAACTGAAGATGTATTGAGCGATACAATTTTCTAAGACACGCATAACACATGCATTCTATCTAGAATTTGACCTAAGCTGTAGTCACGGCCTTTATCCACTAGCCACTATCCCTGATTCCCGCTTCTTTGCTCGCTGGTTCTAACTTTTATTGTCAATAACTCAATATACTCTCTTTATAAGAGAACACCAGGTTAGTGTCCTTTTCTTTCCTCATGATCATTTGCTCATAAGAGTTGACTTTTAGTACTCCTAGAAAAATTCAAAATAGAGAAAACTACGTAGTTACACGATGTCATTTACATGTTTGTATCAATGCTTCACCTAAACTTATAGTTATATGTTACTGTCTCCTGTCTTAATTTCAACAAGGGATTAGCTTTAGTTCTAATTCTGGTAGAAATAAACTTTAGGCAAGCACCAACTATTTCTTTTCAATCTAATTTAATACTTACTTGGACAATGATATTCACATTCAGTAGTATTTTAAGTTTTCAGATGGCGACCGAAACCAAAAATGGAAGTTCACAGTCAACTGGTGGAAATGTTCAGTCTTATAATTTTGCTCGCACTTTCAAGTATCTCATGGGTGAGTTTAATTCTACCAGTTGTTTTAATAATATCTATATTGCAATTTTTCCCATTTCGTTTTAATATTTTATTTCTATCTTTACGTTTTTGCAGCAACACAATTGCTATCGAGGGTAATCCCCTTTATATTTAATACGTGGATAGTGAGGCACCTAACGGAAACTGATTATGCGGTAATTCTACGGTTTCTATTTATAGCTGATTTCTCATATTTTAACACAATCTTGGTTGGAATTGTGTTTTCAAATTGAGAACTGGCTATTCTCCTTGGGGGGAAAAAAACTTGAGCATAAACTTTATTGGTGCATTTTTACTTAGTCAGGAAATAATCATATGTGAACCTCTTGTGATAGCTTAATAAGATTGTAAACTCCTGACTTGTATAAATCGTACTTGGATATCGGGTTTTCCCTTGATCCATTTTGACCCAATCCATATTTTTCGTATCATTATGCTTAAGTGGAATGTATACTTGTTAACGCGGTGTGGCTCGCTTAAGCAGCTTATGCCTTCTTAGGCTCCCCAAGTGCCTAACTCAGGGTAAGCAAGGTAAGTTTGGTGCCTAGGTAGCGCTTCTGCCTAAGCGGACGCCGAGATCACGTTTTATGCAGGGCTAAAACGTCATAGTTGTGGTGGGAGCTAAAAGATTATAATTTAAGATTCTAATAAACTTGTCATGATAATGATGTTCACAAAAAAGACACCATTTTCTAGTGTCAATATGCATGTTATTCAGCAATTATTGCTTTTGAATGAAATTACCGTTAGTTAATTAATGAGCCTTATAACTATGAGAACACAAGTAGTGGTATTAAATTTTTCTGCGAAGCATTAAAAGATACGTGTAAGCAAAAGTTCTTAAGTTTTGATGCACAAGTATTCTTGTCGGATTCTCTTATTATGTTTGTTTCTTCTATTATATTTTGCAGCTTTATGCAATTCAGTTTCAGCTTCTTGTTACTTCCATCTTATTTCTTAGCCGGGAAGGCTTCCGACGGGCTTGCATGCGCATAGATGTTCAAGGGTAATGCTTTCTTCCTGTCGGTTTGAATGAAAAAAATGTTCCTCTCTGTTTTACAATAGAATATGCAACTTGCCAGGTAGTTGATTCACTTAATATGAATTTTAAATAACTCACTGAAAGATATGTGATTACTTGTTTTCCTAAGATTTTGTTCATGTAAAAAAGAGGCGAGGAGAATTTTTCTTTCATATGGAGGTTGCAATGGAGGGCCTGGTGCTTTGGAGGGCCCACAAACACTATCCCTACCAACAACCATCTTAAATAAAGGCTTCTCTAGTGGCTGTGACTAAGTGTTCTTTTGTTACGACGTTTTCTACGAGTCCTTTCTTCTAAAAGGTCAATTTTGGTTTGATGCGGTTATTAGGTAGCATGTTGAGCATGAACACGTGCATCATGAATTCTTATCCAGGTTGAACAAGTCTAACCATGTCAGGCTTTGAAACTTCCTTGGATAGTTGTCAGATATGTGTGAACACTTCTCATATGTCTCCACAATTACGTAATATATTTTTTAATTTAAAATATTTGTCATACATTTCTGGGATGTCCTACACTTTGTCATGTTAAATGTTTGAGATAACTGTTTTAACTCCTTTATATATTAAAAGCCTTAGTTTGGTGGAAATACATTGTCAGGATATTGACTATTATTTGCCTGTGATGAGCTTGCATATGTTTTTGTTAAGAAGTTAAACACACATTTTTGTAATAAGCCTCCAAGTCTCAAACACTTCTTAAGCTGAAAAAGCCATGGGCGATTCGATTCAGCTAAAAGCTGTAGCAAAAAGCCCCTACCTCGCTTTATAGCTTTTAGCCTTGTCCTTTGTACTCCTTAAGGAATTGGAATGTCTACTTTTCCGTATAAAAAAGTATTCTGACATTGCTGAAGAACTAGTCTTATTAGTTGGTTTTTCTTTCACTAATTTTCTGCTTCATTCGTAGCAAGTTCAACCTATTTCGGCGGACACCTTGAGAGGAATGTGCGTGATGTAGTAAGTCGTGTATCCTAGAAGTACAATTCAGGGTCATATAGAGATGCATGGTTCAGTCTTCATGTTTCCTGTATAGACATGTTGATGCTGAATAAGGAGGAATAAGAAGAAAGGAAGAGGAAAGGGAAGAGACTTTCAAGCCTGCTATGACAAACATTGCATTCTTTTCTTTTTCGTCCTATCTCGCTCCTACTCTCAAGGATTTTATAAGAATTGGTTCTGGTCTCATGTGCTTCAATAGCGTCCATTTAACATGACTTAACAAACCCCATTTCATGTGCGATAGTTCATTTTGTAGAATACAAAATTATAACCCTCAACCGTTCCCACAACTTTGGTGTTTTGGTGTAGTGGAAGGTTCTTTGACATGGTATCAGAGCAACCTAGGATCAAATTTTGCGGGCCAAAAATTTATAGCGGATTTAAAAATATACCGCAGTGTGATCCAGGTTTTGATTCATGAAACTAGGCGCTCAACCTGCGGAGACGTAGTCGAATATTAAATTATGTCCCTCAACCTCACCCCAATTTTGGAGTTTAGATGTAGTGAACAGTCCTTTCAAACATTTGTTGGTGTATGAGTTTTTTTCTCCTTCAGAATCTCTTATACTTTAGTTTAAAAGAATCATTTGTACTTGGAAAGATATTAAAACGAAGGATTGAACACTGTACATTAAGCATGAATTCAATGTTTGTTGCATTCTTTTTATATAATTGTCTTTCTTATATCATTTTATCACAGAGATGGTGCACCAATGGAGGAAAATGCAGCAAAGCTGTTGAAAGTAGCCTGGATGTCTTTCCCACTGGGCATTTTCGTTACTCTTACTGCTTGTGTTTTTGTCTTTTGGTCGCAGAACCTCAGTCTTGCTGATCGGTATGCACAGGCTGTACTGATTCATGGTAATTTCCTATACTTCTAAACATGTGCAAACATTCTCTCCTGATTTTTATTATTTCCAGCAAAGTAAAAAAAAAAAAATCATTTTTAAGGATCTGTATCATACTTTGGCTGCCAATATTCTGACAAATTGAACACTTCGATCTCCACCATAGCAGAAGTGGTTTAACCCAAAAACAGAGAAATTAAAAAATATATATGTGGTTGCTATGCAACTTGAACTATTAAATATACGAATGTCGGATTATAAATCAATAATCAATATGTACACAGACATGTCTGCGTTCGTCCATGTGTGCATGCGATGAATGCGTGCATGCATGCATTTAAAACTTGATTTTGTTAATGCTGGCGGTTGATGGTGACCGAGAATTATTTCCCGTTCATAGGCTGGGATTGAAGCTGAGTTTCAGATTTAGGTATATCCCTGTTTATTTTTGTCAATTGTTGGGCATACCTAAGACTTTACCCAAGAAACAAAATTTCTCATGGAGGAGATCATAAAACAGATATTATACAAAATTGTGTAATGTTGTATGCTTATTGAAGAGAGGCTATTACTTTATAATCAGAGGAAGCACTGTAAAGGTGATCTTCGTGCTAGTGTTCTGGACACACCGGAACTGACATGTTAGGTGTCAGTTCTCATAATTTTTGGAATGCCTTTTCTTCCCTCTTTTTGTTTCATTACATATCTTATCTCTTTTTATTCACTAACTTGTGTGTATTGACAGGATTTGCTTGTATATTGGAGTTGCTGGCAGAACCACTATATATTCTTTCTCAGAATTTGCTTCTCCTTAAATTGCGATTGATGGTTGAAACTACAGCAACTATTTTACGTTGCATGACAGCCTACATCCTCATCATTAAACAGCCTAGCATGGTAATTCTATAAAATTCATTTTCTCATGCATTGCAGTTTCATGGATATTTCTCTTCTAAATGCATATTTAGTTTGCGAAAAAAATCTTAAGAGAATGTAATGTTTTGCTTATTGTATTATTCTCTTTGCTATATAGTATAGCTTTTTTGCTTTATTTTTTTATATGTATTGTCTTTTCTATCATACCAATGGGTTCCGCATACCTTTAATAGTTGATAAGTACTGATTTTTTGAGTTTGATCTATAACAAGTGGCACTATTATTTGAATGTCACATATTCTTTGGTCCAAAACTATATGGGGAAAGCATAGAGATGACCGTTTAATAGAAAGTTAGAGCTTCTAAACCACAATCTACTGGTGACACTTATGGAAGTTAATCCTTAATTATCAATCTCTGGGATTCACTGCAAAGATGAGCTTAACTAAACTATAAATACATGATGTGTTAGAATATAAAATGATAACCCTCAATGTTCACCACAACTTTGGAGTCTGTAATGCTTAGGGGCTTTGATATGGTATCAGAGCAATCAAGGTTTTCTAGAAATTGACACTGCTGTGTGAGTCCAGAATTCGCCCATAAAAGGATGATCGACTTGCGGGGGGCATGTTAGAATATAAAACGGTAACCCTTAGTTCTCACCACAACTTTAGAGTTTTGGTGTAATGGTTAGGGACTTTAATATGTTTCTAAGAATCGTGTAGTTCTGCGTATAGCATATACCTTTAATTGTTTAATGATGTAGAAATTAAAAAGATCATTAAACCGGCAAAGAATTAGGTTCCTTATTTTATTTTCATACCCTTATCATCCCTTTGTTGGCTATTTCTGAAATCCAAGAAACTTCACAAAATGTTGTGTTAAACCATTTCATGCTACTAACATAATGTTTGTTTTTTTATCTATTTAAACTCTGGTGTTCAACATGTTATGTTTACACTTTATTTTGTTAACCTCCTTTTAATAGAAAATGTATTATTCCTGGGAATTGCAGAACTTATGAACTTATTTTTTTGATTTTGTAATATCAATGGGTATAAATGCCTTGCAACCTGGTTCTTTCATTAATTATATTAGCACAAACTTGCAGGAAAAGGGGATGGTATTTGCTTTTTCACAGATTGCATATGGTGGCTGCATGGCTTTAGGTTATTGGGTTTATTTTCTTCTTTTTCGTGTAATCAGACGGTCATATCTTCTTCCCTTCAGGTGTGTTAGGTTCTTCACCATTTCTTATTTTCATACATTTCTGTCTATCTGTGGAGACAAGAAAAGCCTGTTTGGCGTGCAGGTGACTCGCTGTTACAGTCTATTTACATTATCCTGGTTTTATACTTCTCTAGAATTGGATACCTTATGATTTGTTGCATGAGAAATTATGTGCGTCTGTTTTCAGGTTATGGAACATTTTGGATTGTGATAAGGAACTTTCGCACATGTGTCTAGTATTCACCGGCCAATCTGTCTGGAAATGGTTCCTTCAGGAGGGTGAAAAGATGGTACTTGTACTGTTTGATACACCCTATAACCAGGCTGTTTATGGCCTTGTTGACAAATTAGGCAGGTTTCCTTGTAATTTGGAGTGTGATACAGATTTATTAATGCCTGGTTTTTGTTTTGCCAGTTTCTTACAATGCTATTGTTTCACTAATTACATTGAACATATCTCTTGTGCTATTCCAGGAAGTTTAGTAGTACGTATGGTTTTTCTCCCTTTTGAAGAGAGTTCTTATGCTACTTTTGCAAAATTAGCATCAGGTACGTATCTTTATCCTCATGCTCTGCTCTATTTTTAAGCGGAGTTGATACTGTTTAATAATTCGACCAGTGTTCTACTCAAGCAGCATTTTGAGTTTTAAAGAAATGTGAAGAAGCTCATTCATCTAAATGTATCAAATTTGAGTTATGTGCTTATATGTGTGCATAGGTGTGTCATATACGAGTGACATTATTTAGTATAGATTAATAAACTTGGCAGTAGTAAACATGTCAACAGAATTGAGTGATGATGCAAACAAATTAGGCAGATCTCTTGCTAATTGTTATTTGTCATGGATAATCTATATAAGGGAATACCTTATTGTTTATTATAGTCATAATGCAAAGTCGATGTTTGGGATTATGCTGGATGTTATTAAGACAACATGTTCATTATTAGATTAATGGAAAAAGTTTATGATATTCCATTATTGCTGTTTGTGATGTGCTTATGGTCATATAGAAATAATATATCAGTGTTGATACATTAAAAATTCATTAAAACAATTGACCATGTCTTGTCATTAGTTTTTGTACTTCGATTTGTTTTCTGTTTGTGAAAAAATGATATTAACTCCGTTTTTTAATTTTTTTTATTACCCTTTCTTGTGTTTGCTTAATTTTTCGCCATTCAATAGACCCCTGTTCTCCAAACTATTTTAATTTCAATCAGGCTATCTTAGTTTGTCCTTTGCGGGAATCATCCTTTGATCTTCCTTATCTTGCAGGACAATCTCCTGACAGGACTAAGAGGTTAGCAAGCTCATTAGTTGAGACCATGAAGCTTGTATTACTCATTGGTAAGTTTTTCAGTTTTCATAGTTATGCCTGTTCCAAGTATCTTGAGAACATAGGACTATTCATTTCTGGTTTGTATATTATATCAAAAACCTAAGTGCAGAGTGGGTTATAAGATCCAATATGCATGGTTCTCTTTCTTTGGCTTGCTTGTGCGCTATGAATCTATGTTTCTTGAGTTGGAGGCTTATTGTGGGAGCAATTTAAGTGGGGCAAACAAAGTTTTGGAGCTTAAGAAAGAATGTGCAAGTATCAATTTTATATGATATTATTTGGAGCAGAGATAATTTGGGGAAATTAATCATTGGTTTTGATGCATTATGACTGTTCATTGATAAATTGATGGATAGTTTCTACTATTAACAAGAATAATTATCAGATTCTAGAGTAGGTGCTACATTCTTGGTAGCATGTTTCTATGAAAAGTTAACAAGGTTATCGATAGCGGATAGCGTCGCGTAGTGGTGAGGCATCGCTAAGGCTATTTGGGGCTGTTGCGGCAAAAAAGCAGCAAAAAGCGTAAAGTCAAATAGCGGTCTAATTTAAATATGTATAAATATTAAACAAAAAAATCAAGAAAAATCTAAAAATGTATATTTAATGATTTAAAGAGATCCTAAGTATGAAATAGATATGTAACTATCACATAATATTAAAGAGGATTGGAGGAGGAGTTGAAGAGTCATCGTCTTCGAGAAGATGAGCTGAGCAGTGAGAGGACTGTAGTAAGAGGAACGCACAATGAGAAGAGGTGAGAGGAGGTGCTGTGGTGATGAGATGTGCTGAGAGAGCCACCAAAGGTTGTGGAAAGTGGTGGGAGGACGCCGGAAGTCACGGGAGGCTGCAGGATGTTGTGGGAGGCATCGACTTTTGTTGGGGGCTAGGATTTTTTAGAGTTGGATCGTGAGGGGGAGACTCAGGAGAGAAAAAAACCATGATAGGTAATGACTTAAAACATCAGGTCTTGCAGGTGCGGGTTGGATTTAATTAAAAAAAAAACCTGAAACCACTTTTAAATAACGGTCATTCCTCCAATGTGGTATGTTTTTGAATAGAAATGATAATACTGTTTCTCTATTGATCAAGATTTGATCTTTAGAGAAAGGTTTAGGAAGGGAGAGGTCTCATCCTTCATAGACAGATACTCAAGATATACAATTTTACCGGTTATGGACACCTTCTGCACCATCACAGCATGGTGTTTAGCGACTGGAGGAGGATACAATAAAAGTTGGATTCATCAACTATCTTTAACTGGCAATAATGAAACATTGAGTCTTTAACTTCTATACTTCATTACTAATAATGACTACTAAGCAAAAGTTGACCCATACCATCAGCCACCTTATTAATATTATACTTACCCTTTGATCTGGTGCATCATCTAGGTGGGACTATCCAGTATACTTATTGCCTGGAAAAGTGAATCTTAAGCTAGATGTTGACTATGTAGTAAATAGTATTTTGCTCAGATATTGTTAATTATTGGTGCTCATGCTAGACCTTACCTTAGGTAATCACAATGAATTAGGTGACTGGAGCAGTTTCCTACCTCAGAGTCTGTTTGGCACATGGAAAGAGAATGCAAACGTGGCTAGTAGGAAAGTGCAAGAAGTAGGGAAGGATCGAAAGTGTGTTCTGAGGTTACCTGTTTGCTTGCTTAAGGTAGGAAGTTCAAGGTTAAGTTGTGGGTTATTCAGGAAATAAGTAGGGAAGGATCAAAGTGTCCTCTGAGGCTACCTGTTTGCTTGCTTAAGGTAGGAAGTTGAAGGTTAAGTTGTGGGTTATTCAGAAAATTATGGTCCTAAAATGGGCATGCATTTAACACAGAAATGTGCTGGAGATCAGAACGTAAGTAAGACCATCATTTGCGTCTCGATTTTTTCACATTAAAATTATGTCTGTTTTCCAACGGGAAGGAGAATGGAAATGTGACGAGTAGGAAAGTAGCAAGAAATATGGGAGGAACAAACTGTCTTTTGAGCTTACCTTTTTTCCCCCTTAACTATGAAGTAGGAAAGAGAATGTTAAAATGTCGGCATTCAACAAATTGTGGTCCTGAATTGGAATATATCTTAATCATTTATCTTACTAGCAATTGATTTATGGTTTTAACTTTATATTATTGTTGTAGGACTTGTGGTAATAGCCTTTGGTCCAAGCTACTCCTATGCACTCATTAGACTACTTTATGGGAAAAAATGGAGTGATGGAGAAGCTCCTTATGCACTTCGTTATTATTGCCTCTATGTCATTTCTTTAGCCATGAATGGTCAGTAAGTTGCTGGATTTACTTTTTAAGTGTTGCTGGAATTTTTTGAAAATCTTAATATCCATATACTTGCAATTTGACAGGCTTTAGTTCATTGAAGTCCTAATTTATTCATTAAGTTGTTAAATATATTTCAGTTCAAAATATTATAATGCCTTTACTTGTTGCATTTGATCTTGAATTGCATTCAATGCAACTCTTGAAATAAATACAAGTATCATGTACCAGAAAGTATAGTGCATTGTTGGTTGTTGGTTCATGCAGCAGAATAAAATTTAGGGCAAGAGGCAGTCCCTTACTATACATGTTTCAAGTTGAGTTGTGACTCAAATCCCTTTACTGTAATATGTGTACGGCTAGGGGCCTCCTTTACCCATGTGCAACCTGTTGTGGGTGTGGGTACGCATGCAAAACGGTATGGACATTGGTCGTATAAGTTTTAGCCCTTGTGATGTGTTATTTTGGTTATTGGGTTAAAAAAATGAGAGGTTTCTGAACCCGATAATCATAATCCCATAACTTAAAGATTAAAGAAATCCCATTCATACCTCCATCTTTCTCATATTACTACTGATTCTTCCAATATCTTTCTCATGCCTCCAAGTGCAAAATCCACGCTCTGAAACCTCCTGTGTTTGGCTCTTGATGATGGCCGAATCTCTTAGACTTACAGTTCTCTGGCTATCGGTGATAGAGTGAGAGGGCTGGCGGTGACATAGCGAGAGGGTTCACGGAGATCCTAAAGAGAAAAATTGTAACCAAGTTTTGAAGATTTAGAGGTCTTTAGGGTTTTCTAATTTAACATCTAATTAGTAATAGACTTAGCAGTTTTATATCAGTTATCATTTGATAATAATAATAATACAATTGAAGTGGTTTAGTTACATATATCTCATTGAAATTTTATGAATTTAATATCTAATTAGAAATTCGTTTTTGAGGTTTTTAATTTAAGTGGTTTTTTAATATATGCCTTCGCTACACAATACTTTATAATTTTGAGGCATTGAATCACAGAGAAGCATGGGTAAGTTCTGGATTGGCAACTCATGTACACCCTCACGTGTATCCATGCAACATAAACTTCACTCAATTTGGTAATATTCCTGTCAGGATGTGAACATGTGCAATTGGGCAGACTTCTGATGGAATTAGGACCAAGTATAGAATCCAAGTTAAGAGGAAAACTCAGTTGCAGTTATTATACTTAGACCCACAATATTTTAGGCCAACTTAGTTCTGAATTCGAATCACAATTTTAATCTCAACCATCTATGAACTGGTTTAGATAATCTTGACTAAGTTGTGTTTGAGGTGTCTCCATATATAGTTGAGCTATTTTCCACTCAACTGGATAGAACCTGTGCACCCAATTTTTGACTGTCATTTGTTTTATTGATTAAAATTTGATTAGATGATATGACATTAATTTTATTAAGGGAGGGGTAGTTTGGTAACACACAAGAGTAGGGAAACATGTCTTTATGAACCTCTCAATAGCAATTCCCAAGCTGCACCTGTTTTCACTCACGTGGAGGGAAAAAAGCCATCACTGAACCCCCACCTCCTCCACCTAGTCATGGCCCCCACTGCATCTCTCTCGGCCCTTTCGCTGCTACTTCCCCCTCGCTGTGAGCACCGCTATATCCACTTTGCTACAATATCTTCCAGTGAGCGTTGCCTCCTCCCTTGTGGCGTGAGGGCCATCTCCCTTGTACTCTAAATTAATTTGTTCAAATATATTTAAAAGAGGTTGGTTCAGATGGTTCACATGCAATCCCATCCTTCGCCACCAAATTTATAGCCAAATTTCGATTCAAGTCAAAGTGATCATAACTTCATCTCAACTTCGCTTTGGTGTTGAAGAACATCTTTATCAACGTTTGTGACTTATTTTTAGTATTTTGCAATGTTAATTAGGCATTCATTATTTCATTCGTTTTTTTTTTTTTTTGGGGGGGGGGGAGTTTCTTATCCAAAAGAAGTTTAAGACGTCAGTCGTTCATATGGCCCCATCAATGACCAAGAGAAAAACCACAAAGGAAAAAGATTAAGGAAATGAGGATAACTTTGGACGAATATCATATTACCTACCATAACTTTCAAAATATTAGAAAAACCCCTTAAATTTAGGGGTTATTAGAAAACCCCCTTTCTCTTTAAGATAGTATTAGACAACCTCCTAAAAGTGTAAACCACAATTTTTACTGAAAAACCTCTGCATAATTTTACCCACCTATGTGAAAAGTTGTGGTTACTGCCGTAAGGGTTTGTTTTGGATTAAACCTTAAAAGGGCTCTTTTTGACGACTACAAAACTTAAGGGAGTTTTCTGATATTTTGAAGTTAGGCTTTGGGGGGCGGGGGGGTAATCATCCGGAGTTGAAGGGTCTTCTGATATTTAGCCAAAAATAAGAGTACATAATTACATATACATATACTGTTGAAACTTGTTCACTCACACGAGTATGAAATGTTAAATCCTTGTATTTTACACCATTTGAAAATGGAATAAAATAAATATAAAAACATCGCAGGATAAAAAGCATAAAGAAAATAAACTTATCTATTGCACCAAAGCTCTCAACCAACAGAAAAAGCAAATAATACGGCAGTGAGGGGCGATGTGTGTTGGGAGAAGGGGGGGGGGGGGGGGCGCTCTTGTAGCAGAGTAGCGAGTGGGAGACGCTCTCTGTAGTAAAAAGAGGAACAACTGTTTGAATTGCTTGGCATTAGGAGGCATTCTTGACCCGGCGAAAGGTAATGCCAGGTTTGATTTTCATTGCCGCAGGGAAGAGATAAGTCAAGAAGTTGTATACATTTCTTATTATCTCTCGATATGTGTTGAGTTACCAAATTATCACTCCCTCAATAAATTAATGCCATGTCATCTAATCATATTTTAATCATTCAAATGAATACAATGTTAAAAAAATAGGGTGGACAATGTCTCTTATCCAGTTAACTGGATAATAACTTCAGTCAACTGAGGGATTTGTTCATGTGACTTTTGGACTATTGGATAGACTCATTTGTTCAAGATCTTGATCTAGTGAACACCTTTAAGTTATTAAAGTAAACGTAGTCTGGAAAATAACCAAAAAATGTGGAGATAAAGTAACATAGCAAAGAGATTGAACGAGTAGTAATTATGACTCCACCTTGCTTGGAGGGAAACAAATCAAAAGACTTATGGGTTCATCTCGGCATTTACAAATGATTCTGAGGCTATCCCTTCCCCCGCGATTGCTAGAGCTATGACCTCAACGCGGATGTCATCCCTTGTCTCCTGTTGAAACTAGCATCACTACGAGTTCTAGATCTTGATTTCACTTCCTAATTAGTGAAATGATCATAATTTTCTCTTCTAAGTTCTATATTTTTTTATTTATTTGAGCTAACTTTATTTGTCTTTAAATTTTATGTCATATCTATAACAACCTATTCTTTAGATTACAAGCTTATCGTTCTGATATGGTTTGGAGACCACTTGGATGATGATCTTTTTTTTGGTGCAAATAAAGAAATTGTAATGACTACAACATTTTTCAAATTCACAAATAATTATTGTGATACTCCAATACACGATTTAATTGATTGCAAAATACTTATTAATAGATTGTACGATACTTTTTATGTATTTTATCAAATAGATGATATAACTCTTATTTGAGGGTTGGGCCCATGCTAATGCGAGCGCTGACGAATCAAATGAACAATTGGAAAGAAACTTCAATCACATGGAATACGTTGATGAACTAAAAACGTGATATTAAGTTCAAAAACTCTAGAGGAATCAATCATATACTATAGTCCATATGCTCTACTCACTGGATTCGGGATTAGACGGCGATGTAATTATCTATTCAAGAATAATAATGTCATCACGATGCAAGTTATCCTAATAAGGATCATCCTAGAAGCAAAGAGAAAGAGCTATTACATGAAGATAACACATTAGAGAACATTCTTTCGAAGGAAATATATAACATGTGACCCGATTGTCAAGTAAAGCATGCCTAAGAAGTTGAACGATAAAGAAAAATCAAGTTGTGTCATCCTGTATTAAGGGAGAACAACCATGACTTAGTATCAAACCTGTCAAAAGCTCATTTCTATTGTTACCGACAAAAGATTGAGAATGAATAAGCAAACCTAACATGCACAAATATATCTATAAAGTATGTTGTGGATTTCATTGCATCTTAGCTTGGGGGGTTATGTATAACTTCTACTATTTTAAAAAGCCTCTGCTTAGTCCGCCTAGACGTACGCCTAGACTTAGACAGTACCTAGGCCGTCTAACCAGTGCCTAGCGCTTGAGTGGTACCCAGGTTGCCCAGCTAGCTTTTAGGAATGTTTAAGGGAGCATGGGTTGTGCCTTGTAGGTCTTGATCGTGATTTTCTGTGTTGCCTCCATGTCCTCCAACCTCCTTCAAACTCCTTTAACGTCCAAATATGAACACATTCACTATCTCCTCTGACCTTCTGCAAAATCTCCTCGACCACTACTTAGATAAAGAAAGAAATCCGTCTAGACACCAGTCCGACACCTAAGCTTTCTATAACATTGACAATTACTATCAATTATTGTAATTAAATATAAAAAAACCTCTTAGGTTCTAGGCGTCGAGTCCAACGCCTAGGCCTCCTAGCGCTTTCTATAACATTGTTATTTATTATTTTGACTATTTAGTATTTAAGTTTGCATAGTTTATCGTGGATCTAAGATTGCTATCTTTTTTCAAATTTATATGAATTTAATATATATTTTTATCAATTATTATAGTTAAATAATTTTAAAAATAGCCAAAGACCTAGACGTACACCTAGACATCTAGGCGCTGACTCAAATGTCTAGTCCGCTTAGCGCCTTCTGTAACATTGATAAATTCCAAAGGAAAATTCTAAGTGACTTTGCGACGCACTAATAAAGATCTCTTTTTGAAATTGATGTCTTCACAACTTTAACGCGCTTTCAACTAGTATGAGCTGAGGACCTCATATTAGTTTACGATGTGCAGATTGATGTCGTTAATTGAACGAATAATGTATTTTCGTTAGACGTGGATCAAGGATAACCTACCACTGTTTTTGAGATGCAAACACTTTTGACCCAACCTATTGAACAAACAAGTACAACATGTTTGTATCTCTCATGGGGGTAAACCATCATTCTGAAACTATATTATCTGGTTGTGTTTTATGTATAAATTCTAAAGGAAAAATCTAAGTAACTTTGCGACGCACTAATAAAGATCTCTTTTTGAAATTGATGTCTTCACAACTTTAAGCCGCTTTCAACTAGTATGAGCTGATGACCTCATATTAGTTTACGATGTGCAGATTGGTGTCGATAATTGTACGAAGAATGTATTTTCGTTAGACGTGGATCAATGATAACCTACCACTATTTTTGAGATGAAAACACTTTTGACCCAACCTATTGAACAAACAAGTACAACATGTTTGTCATTCATCGGGGTAAACCATCATTCTGAAACTATATTATCTGGTTGTGTTTTAATTGGAGATGAGATCGCTTAACTCCTTTATGTCAGTGTTCTAGTCATGGTATCATGCCCTAATGCAATGTTTGGTATGATTATAACCATATTATTTTGTTGAGCTATAATTAGCAAATTCCTTTGTTTGTGTGTTTCAAATATAGCTTAATGCAGTGTATGATAAGCATGGAGACAGAGGAGGCTTTAGATTTGTAGGTTAGGATGCAATTGTACCCTTATAGTTGCCCCTAATAATTTTTAAAAAATAGAACCTAATCTATCTAAAAACACTAAATAATTTAGTAGCAAATTGAATTCGGCCATCTAAAGTGTACCGAATGTTTTCTCATTAGATACTATACTTTTATAATATTATATTTTTTAGGTAAATAGATATTTGTTGCCCCCCCCCCCCCCCCCCCCCCCCAAAAAAAAAAAAAAAAAAAAAACCTCAAAAGAAATTTTTTTAAAGATCTGCCAATGCTTGGAAGGGTTGATAACATATCGTTTGTAAAGAATGACCTAAGTAACTTTGTGATGCCACAACAAGAGACGCTTTTGAGTTTGATGTCTCCACAATTCTAAGCTACTCATGCTTTTGTATGCTTTTTAGATTGATATTGATAAATCACCATTCTCAAACTATATTATGTGGTTGCATTAAATTAAGAATGAGATCATAGACTCCATTATGTGGGCGGTCTCATCTTTAATTAAAGAACAATCAAATAATATATAGAATGGTGGTTTACCCGATGAATGATCTAACAACATGTTCTATTAGTTTTTGCAGTACGTTGTATCAAAAATGTCTGCATCTCAAAAATGTTAGTAGGTTAGCCTTGATGTTCTGTCAACTCAAAATATGTTTTTCGTGTAGTTATCGATATTAATCTGGACATCATGAAAAATACAAGGTTCTCGGCTCATAGTTTTTGAAAGTAGATTAAAGTTGTGGATACATTAATTTGAAAAAGGGACATTTGATGGCGTATTGCAAAGTTACTTAGATCTTTTCGTTCAATTTAAACATCACGAAGCCCTCCATGCTGAATTGCAATAAAATTCATGATATGCTTTATAGATATATTTGTGCACGTATGGTTCTTATTAGGTTTGCTTCTTCATCCCTAATCTTTGGTCGGCACTAATAACAAGTTTTTGAGGGTTCTATACTAATTATGATTGTGCTCCTTCACAAAGGATGATACAAAACGGTTTCTTTCATTGCCAGATTTCACACACATGCTTGCTTGGCAATCGGTTCACATGCTAGATACCTCCTTCGAAAGACTTTGCTCTAATGTGTTATCTTTATGTAATAGCTTATCCCCTTTGCGTTTAGGATGACTCTCATGGGAGCAATTGAAGGCATGCATCCTGATGACATCATCTTTTTAGACTGGTAATTAGTTCATCTTCTAAATCTAAAACCAATAAGTTGTGCATAAGCATTATAGTACTTCATTACTTCCTCTTAAGCATTTGAACTTTATATCTTTTTTTGGTTCATGAACGTATTTTATGTGATTGAAGTTTTCATGCAATTGTTCTTGCTCCCATAGCTCGCACTCTTGTGTCATGTTATCTCTTCCATTAATTTGATTCTTGTATCACGGCATTAGAGCTCACATTAGTATTAGCCCAAAGCCTCAGGTGAGTTTTCATCATCTATCTATTAAAATAAATAAGAAGTATTGCACAAATGATTATACTAAGTATTTTGCAATCAGTTAAGTTTTGTTTTTGAGAATGACATTATTTTATCTATGAATTTGAAAAAATGTCTATTAGTCGTTACCATTTCTTCGTTTGCACAAAAAAAATCATCATCCAAGTGGTCCGCGAACTATGCGATAATTGTAAACCTGGAATCAAAATTTAAAGAATAGGTTGCTTAAAATATGAAAAAATCTGATGCCAAATAATTTGAGCTTGATATAGATCAAAAATAAAAAGATGGAAGGAAAAATTTGAGATTATTTCACTCACTAGCTACTGAAATCAAAACCTAGAACTTGTGGTAATGCTAGCAGTAGCAGGGAGACGGGATGACCTTGGAGCTGGGGTGCTAGTGTTGAGAGGATGAGGGGAGGAGGTCTGTGTTGAGGGCGTGGCTCTTATGATGGAGGGAGAAAGGTATGGCGTCAGAGCCGTTTGTGGATACAAGGTGAAACCAGAAGTTTTGATTTGTTTCTCTTTGTTGGCATAGAAACAAGATGTACTATTACTATATGTATAATTTCTTTCCAATATTTTCTTCTCTCCAACTGATTTTGTGTGTTATTTCTCAAACTATCCTTTAATAGATGAAAGGTGGTTCACTGGATCAAGATCCTTATCTTATTAGTCCATCGAACTGTTAATAAGCTGGATGGACAATTCCTTTAGTCCATTTAAGTTTACAACAAATTCTCTCTCTATATGTATGTATATGACTGTGTTTTTATTCTTTTTCTGTTCTTTTGCCCGTAAGGTTCATGTTGTATTTGGAGTAAGGTACAAGAGAAATCTCAAATTATGTGCTTCTCACAATTTTAATTAAATAATCATTGATCCTTCGCGCATGAACATAGCCCATTAGTGCCGAGTCACATATGTGTGTGTTTCCTTCTCACTTTTTCTTGATATTTCCAACGATTATGTTTGATCATTCTGGGTTATTTTTGGGGATTGCTATAATGCTTGTATAAAGCTTCAGATGCAAATATCAACATGATGACAATTACATTAGATTTTGAGAAGTTTCATGATGTCATTGACTTTGTTCATTGGCAATTAACAATGGACGCCACATTGACTCAGTAAAGGTTGAAGAGGGCACATTTCAGGAAAGTTGAAGAAGAAAGTCGATATGAAAAATCGAACATGGGAATTAGGTGAATATCCCTTACTAATTTAGTTGTTTTTGGTTGATGGAATTTTTTTTTGGACCAGTGGATGCTTTGGTATATTACAGACTTCTAGAGAACTATTTAAAACTGGCAAATAGTTTGATTATGAAATAATGTTTTGATTTATTTCATCATTAGTGAGTTGGGTAAAAGGTGCTTTTTGAGATTAATGATGAAAATGAAGTACCTTTGTTAGTCTGTTGGTTACCATTTCCTTATGAGAGTTCCAAAGAAGCTATAATTTTGCAGATCAAACTGTCTTAAGTTCAAGGAAGTCGAGAAGCAATTGGTTGATAAATATGAAAAGAACATTCAGTTGACAGGTGACTCCAATAGTAGTTAATGTAATTCAGGTTTGGTTGCTAAGAAGTTTAAGGATAATGGTTCTGATGTGATCCCAAACATATATGCAACTATTGTAGAAATAAGGAGCACATCAGGTCTAATTATCTTCAAGTTGAGGAACATAAAATTGCTTAACTAGAAAACATGCAGCTATTATTGAGGATGATTGATGATTCAGACAGTTTGAAAAGGATAAGTGATACTTTTTCAGATGTTCACTACACATGAGTTCCTATAGAAGTTGTTGTTCACATATTATTCACTTGAAAATTTAGTTCTTTAGCAGGTAATTATGTGTCATACGCTATAATTGGTCAAGGTACAGTCTAGGTTAATTCATATGATGGAAAATCACTACTCTTTCAGGTATAGGTTTGACCTCACCTCTTCAGGAAACCCAGATTTTAAAAAATTACTTACAAGGAAGAACACGGTTGTATGGAAGTTCCCAGTGATTCGATGTCAATTTTAAAACAAAAATATTGGCAATTTATATGTGTTACAGAGCTCATAATTACAGGTCTGAAGTTACCTGTCATTGAAATCATATAATGATCTTTTTTGTGGTGTAAACCTCCATGTTGGAGATTTTTATCTACTTATATATGTAGAAACGTTCTGAAATTACTTCTGATGTTTAGGTACATCTGAAGCATTTTTGCATGCTGTAGCAAATGAAAGTCAGCTGAAGCAATCAAATAAATACTTACTCAGATTCTCTGGAGTATATATTATACTAAATGTCATTCTGATCCGATATGCTGGAGCAGTTGGGCTAATTGCTGCTAATTCATTAAGTATCCTTGTTACTCCAGTCAATTATCTATCTTACATGATTGTTACTTTAGCTGGCAAATTATAATCTCAGTTAGTATTGGCATTCTGCTTTGCCATTCTGCATGATGTATGCACTTAGTTGCATGTGGATGTTTTAATGTGAAATTCAGATTTTAAAATTTTCATGGCTGTAAATTGTAGGATTTAGTCAATCAATAGCAGTTGATTGCTTGTTTCAAAAGTAAAACACCAAAAAAGGGGCAATTATGAAATGCAAAAAATTTATATTTATAGTAGAAATTTTCAATGTCATGATTAAGAAAATCTCAATACTC